GAACTCATGCAGAAGTGGCTTTAGCCTCTTAGTGTTGTGCTTTAACCCGCTGCGCCACCAGGGAGGGCCGGAGAAATGTTTTTTAATGTTCCTTAACATGTCAGTGTCTGAGGAATACAAAAAATAGCTTTTGCCTTTAAAGAATTCACAGTCTGGTATGTTAGAAAAGAAAATTACTTCAAATATGATATAGTAAGTGATAAAGGAGGGCTATGTAGTATACATCTGAGAGATAAAAGGAGGTGGAAATAAGCCAGTGTAGGAGTAGGAATGGGTTAAAAGATGACCTCTTTAGTTAAGTCTTGAGAGTTTGGTAGTTATTCATTATTCATTCATTTTCCATTCTTTGCCCAGTAAGCATTTACCAATGTACTACTGAGTATGCCTGACACTTTGGATTCACCAGGAATGTGGTGTTGTGCAGCATGATTTGTTTTGTTTTTTTTTTTTTAAGAGGGAAAGAGAAAATAAACAGCATACACATAGCAAATTATATACTAGAGGATATTTGAAAACTGTAGTAATGTAAAGGTAAATAGCCTCTCTGATTTAAAATGAGGTAGGCAACTCTGAGAACACTACTTTTTTTTTTTTTTTTAACAGATACTGGATTTTCTTTGATATAACTTAGGTGGGGTCTCTCAGAGGTGCTTATGAGCACAGAGCCCATCATTTACCAGGGAGGCCACGACTCAGGAGGTATTTGGCCCCATGGTCATCTGGGCTGATGCAGTGCCATGTCTTCAGACTCGTCCATATTAACTTGGTAAAGCCCCAGCATTTCAGTGGTGAGCAAACTTAAACTTGACCTGCAGGTGCCTCAGTCACACACATTCCTTGTCCTGCGGCTTGGTGTGGGTGGACATGGCAAGTTGGCTAGTGTGGACCCTGGCCATAGCTCTGGGGCTTTCCAAAGGCACCCTGCATGTTGTCTGGAGCCCAAGATTGGGGTGGGGATAGCACGAGGCAAGAGTTGAGTGCCCACAGGAAGAGCAGTCTCTAGGACCTTTCAGGGTGACTCATGCTAGCAGACAGCTGTGTACCCTGTGGAGAAGGCTGCTGTTTGCAACAGCCTAATGGGGCAAGAGCCGAGTAGGTTTAATTGACTACAGTAAAAAAAAATTTTTTTTAGTGAAAAATCTTAAACCTTCACAAAAGTAATGAGAATAGTACAGTGAATCTCAATATACTTATCACTTAGATACACTAATTAGCACAATTTCCTCACATATGCTTCAATGATTTTTCCCCACTTTTAAAGGAAATGGCATGACATACTAAGAAATGGCATGACATACTGTATAATTGTTATTTTACATCTGTTTTACTGTGCATCTCCAAAAACATTTCCTTGTATAACCACAACCACTAAGCCTAACAATATAGAAAAACATGTGAGCCAAGTATTGAAGGAGACGAAGTCTTACTCCATGAGCTGAGGAAAGAAAGTTTACACAACAGGGACGTTTGGTACAAAGGCCTTAGGTAATGTATCTACCGTGTTGGGAGAACAGCAGGAGGGAGGAGGCTGCAGCATAGTGGCCACAGGAAGAATGGTCAGAGATGGGGTCTTGCAGTTACTGAAAGCTCTGACTCTCCTTTGAGTTGTTTAGGGGGCCATGACCGGGCTTCAGCAAAGGGGTGCCAGATGAAATTTAATTTCAAAGGATCACTCTGAGTGCTCTTGAGAGTAGACAGAAGGGGAGAAAATTAGGAGCTAATTAGGAGATTGTTGTTGGATTAAAAGGTATTTTTTGGGTAGTGGCTCACTCCTAGCAGTAGTAGTGGAGGTGGCAGGATGTGCTTGGACATATTCTGAAGGTAGAGTTAATTATTTCCTGACTGGCTGTGACTTGAAAGAGGATGAAAGGCTGTAAGATGGGTCTGATGTTTGACCTGAGTAACTGGAAGGATGGAGTAAGTTTTGGGGTACCAGCAAGAATCTAGCTTGGGTGTATATAGAGTTTGAGGTTTTAATCATGCAGATGGATTCATAAGTTTATATATATATACACACACACATATATACACATACATACATATACATACATATTTCTTTTAAAAAATTTAATATATTTTTATGTCATTGTTCATTTTTAAACAATGTTTAACTTTTCTCAGTGAATATTTTAGGGTGTTGAGGGAAGAGAGGTAACAGGAGTAGTGGTGTGTTTTTATTGGTTTCTGCTATAGTATCAGCAACCAGATGGGGAATGTGGATATTCAGAAATTATTGGTGTTTAAACAGTGTTTATAACTGAACACTTGTCTGCTCATTAGAACCATGATAACTATGATATTTGCAGTTATATTTTCTCTCAAACTATTCTTGATCAGGCAAGAATGAATAAATTAGGTAAAAGATATAATAGAGAAATTACCTATTTCTTTCAGAATGGTTAAGCACTGTTCAGAGGGAAAGTATTCCTCTGTATATTTTCTGGGGTCTCAGGAGATGTCCCTGGTTATTTTGGAAGCACTGACTGATTTAACTCAGTGACACTCACAGAATATGATAGAAAAATAGCCTGAGGTGGTCTGCTAACTTCATAGTGATCCTGGAAGATCCTAATTGTGATATACTGTCACCTTCCTTCCTTTTGTACCCTGAACTCAACACAGATTTATATTAATGAAGAAGACCATGTTTCTCTGACATTTTCTAAACATAAACTGATCAGGAAACTTATTGAACAGTCTTGTTCACTCCACTGAAGAGATTTTCATGATAGGTGCTGTGGTTGTTAGTCTGGGGTTGGGTACTGTGGAAAGGATGTTGTCAATACAGATGCTTTCAGTGGCTTTGTGCATTGCATACTGATCATGATGGCTTTTATGTCTCTCTCTCAAAGTTATATCCAAAAGGGTAGGTTTACTATATTAAAAAAAAGGAAAGGAGAGGAAAGAATGCTTGCACAGGTACAAGCTGGCAGAAAGCAATGCACCCGAAAGAGCCAGTTTTGTTAAAAAAGGCATCTTTATAGTCAAAGGTAGGAAGTCTTGGGAAGAGAGATGCCCTTTTTTCTCTCTTTTTTTTTAAAGATTTATTTATGCATGCAGAACTGGGGTACAGGCCAGAGGTGCAGGGGCGGTGAGAGGATTCACCAGAGACAGAGTGGGGAGCAGAGTAGGCAGAGCAACAAAGTACACTGCTGAGGGGAGCAGCGGGCAGGCCAGGAGAGATCTGCTGCGCCATGTGGGTCACCTCCGAGGCTGGGGATTGAACTCATGCTGAAGCGGCTTTAGCTTCTTAGTGTTGTGCTTTAATCCACAGGGAGGGTCCCGTTTCTCCTTTTAAAGAGGGAACTTCCTAATCCCCCTTTGGATCATTTGGGGTTCTGATTATGTATCTTGTAATCATGTGGAAAATTGACACATTGCAACATGGGATTGTGCTGTGACTTCAGCTGTTGCATTACCTGGCATTTGTGTAACTAACTGTAAATACTGTGTGTACAGAGATGGAGACCCTCCCATGCCTGTGTGGTTGAACTAAACTCTGTAGTCTGTGGGTTCCCTGATCCACAGGAAAAGGGAGACAGAAGGAGGTCAGAGGGTCTTGCAAGTCTGGAGTAGTTATCTTTTGTACATAACCACTCCCCTCACCTCCTTAAAAAAAGTGAAAAGGAGGGTGCTTACTCTCTGTTTTGCTCTTCCTATGTAGGAGATGCATCGGAGATTTGAGAATGCCTCTGATTCTGCCAAAACAAAAGCTCTGCAAACAGTTATTGAAATGAAGGTAAGTGAGAATCCAATCAGTTTCCTAGTCACTGTGCACATTTCAGTGACTGCACACATTCATTCAGGTGTGAGGTTTGGAAAGTGGCATGGAATAATAGTATTTCACTCATTTTGTAGATTGAGAAGAAATGGTAAGACTTAGTGAAAATAACATTTTACAATGGTAGTTTCCATTTCCTTTTAGTGATTGAGTATAGTTTAAATTGCACCAAAAAAGTTTGTCCAGAAAGTCTTTAAATCACCTATTCTCAAACCTTTTGATCTTAGGGCCCCTCTTTTTCTCTTAAAATATAGACTTATTCATATTTAAGAATGTATCTGCCAAATACTAAGTCTGAATAACCATGTAAAGCACCTAGCTGGTCTGGCAACTTGTCGAAGCACACAAGTGCTCCTAGCAATGGCCATCATGCTCCACGGTGAGCATTTGGGCCTAGCTGTTCCTTGCACAGAATATTTTAAAGAGAGGTGTACTCAAGGGTAGAGATTTATTAAAATCTTCAAGTTTTTCTTTTTTTTTTTTTCTGTGAGTGCTTGAGACTGAACAATACTTAGTAGTAGAGTTTAGTGCACTATTACATAGACTGTTGTCCAGAGGTACTAGCTGTCATGCTTGCTGCCATTGCTTTATACCTTTACTATATGTTAGTGCAAATGTTAGTACAACGCAAATGTTGATATAGTGAAAAAGGCAAAGTCATGACATTATTATGAAAATAGTTCTGACCATACACACTTCTTCAGAAGGGTGGAAGGACTTCCAGAATTCAATGGATCAGACTTGGAAAACTTCTGCTTTAAGTTAACAAATAGCAAAAAATTTGGGGAATGTATGATATGGTGACAAAAGGGTCTGGGCTGGGAGAAAGGATAGAGAGGAAAAATCACATAGAAGAGAGGAGTTCTCTTCCTTCCACCCAAATGGCTATCAGGGTTATATTTTAGAAGCAATGCATAAATCTCAAGGTTGCTTAGCAACTTTTTGCCACATATTTATCTGTAGTAAACTTAATAGTTGTAAAAGTTACAAACTGGGTTGGTTCTTAGAGATTTTGTGAATGCTTATATACTAAATCTTCCATTTTTCTTAGGATTCAAAAATTTCTTCTATGGAACGTGGGCTCCGAGACTTGGAAGAAGAAATTCAGATGCTGAAATCTAATGGGGCTTTGAGCACTGAAGAAAGAGAGGAAGAAATGAAGCAAATGGAAGTCTATCGGAGCCATTCTAAATTTATGAAAAATAAGGTAATGATTTATGGTACAGTAATTTTTAAAGGGGGGGGTAAAAAAAATAATGCATATTTCTATTTGCTTAGTGCTGATGATGAATACCACACTGTTTTACCAGACTTCAGGGAAGCATACCTCTAACATGTTTCTTTCAAATGGAACTTTCCCAGAATTAAAGTCAGAATTACTAATACTGTGTAGCTATATCAGTTTTTCACTTTAAGGAAAATTACTATTATGAGGCTAATGTGTATTGTCACTGGTTAACATTTTGTATCTACCACTACTTTTGGGGTCGTTTCGTAGAATTCCATCCAGATGAATTTTTCTCAGTAAAGGGGATAATCAAAATCCCTACCTCTTGTGAAGTATTTTAAAAGTAAAAATCCTGAGACTGTGAACCCTGTCCCTGTGTCTTCCCTACCTTTTCCCTTGAAATGGCTTAAATAAAGTCATGTTTTCCTTCAAGTACAATTCCATCAGGGAAAGCCTTTGCTCCACCTTGGATTAGGTTTCCTGTTCCCACATGAACTTCAGGTGTACATACAGCTTGAGGTCCCACTGAGGCACAACAGCCCACTGAAAACTAAGTCAACATTCTTTTCGTCAATTCAGATTATTTGGTTTAATTCTCTGTGTGGGTACATTAGAGGATTGGCTTTTTACAGTTTCATTTATCAAGTTCAAATTGTTTTAGTTCTACAGTTCTCAGAACTGGAAGCTATAAAGGAGTGATTCAGTTATAACTCTCTCTGATTTCTGACTTCTTGCATGGTGTTCATGCCTGGCATATAAGTCTGTAGAATAGTTTTCTAGTTATCAGTGACTATTGCCAATTTTGAATAAACTTTAGAACTTAAAAACTCAGGTATCAAATTAATGTTATTAGTTTAGATTTGTCACCGAAATTTGAGAACAAAGTGTTCTAGACTATGAACTCTGCCTCTCACTTACTTATTAATAAATTTCAGTTCATTTAGGAAACGCTGTGAAATAGAAAAAACACGGAGAGTCCATGGAAGAGGGAATTAGATGAACAGATTTGTTAATTGTTATGTAAAATTATTGTTATTTCCAGTTACTGCTCTGGTTCAAAAGCAGATAACCAGGACCAAAGCTGCCACGTAAGTGAAAAAGAATAACAATGTCGTGACAGGTAGAGCAACTGAAGGAGGAACTAAGTTCGAAAGAGGCTCAAGGGGACGAGCTGAAAAAGAGAGCGGCTGGTCTCCAGGCTGAGGTCTCTGCCGTAAGAATTACTCTTCGTGGGCAGTGACCCCACAGTGGGACCCTGCTAGTTCTGGCTTCTGGGTGGCTTACATTTTCACACTCTGTGGTTGGCAGCTTTGCCCAATGCTAGCACTAACCAGCCTGCTCTGCTCTTTAACCGACTCCTATCACTCGTGTGCAGTGAGCCCTCACCTGCTCTGGAAACCCTTTATCTGGTGTATATTGTTGCTTTTGGTAATGTGTGGATGGTCCTTCAAAACTTGTTTTTCTCAGTTCTTTTCCTGTTGCTAGATATTTGTTCAAGACTTCTAATGAATAGTGGTATCTTTTTCTTTTAGGTTCAAGAATACCAGGTATTAGTCTGGGTCCATCACCTAGTGCTGTTTATTTGAATTGGAATTCTTGAGTGCCTTACACTTCATATGTAGGCATTATCTAAGTCCCTTTTGATGATTTTGCAAAATGTTCCTTTGTTTAGAACAGATGTTTAAAAGTGTTTAGCTTGAGTTCCTTAGTAAATTAGAGTTAGCAGGGAACGTATAGTCTTTCAATCTATTTTAGTCTTCTACCTAAAGAACTTAAAATTCCATTTTAGAACATTAGAAAAACAAAGTAGCTAACACTTACACATTTGATTTAAGCGAGTTTTCTAAGTAGTGAAAACAGCGCTTGATTTTTATGTCAGTGGTCTGGTTCCAGAACATGTACTGGTAGCTTTTCACTCTTGGCCTTCTAGGTTGTGCACACGTTTGACACCCAAGTGTCAGAAAAAGTGCTTCTGAAACAAAAGTGCTTCTGAAAATAATTGTGGGATGCACTTGGAGTGCAGTCCAACTTGTGCTAATTTGGTGTGTTTGCTACTTAGGGGCCTCTTACAGATAGAATATAGTATATATATAGTATATATGGATGGTGTAGGTAGAGTTTATATTTTGATGAGAGAGTCTAATTTGGTGTATGGTAACTGTGCATTATTGTCTAGAAAATAATGTTGATCGGTAACTATTTTTTCTTAACTATGATTTATTTCTTTGATGTGTCAAGCAACAAGACAAGTAGGTACCATAAATTATTTTATTTAATCTCTTAAACATTACAGTAGCATTAGTTTACTTTTTCCCATATAACTTGATTAGTAAATCAAAACTTAGTGAGGTGAAGTAATTACTTAGAGTCACACTTATCCTCAGGTGTGCTTGGTAAGAAAGCTGCATGCTCTTACTTTAAGGGAAAATTTGTGCTTCTGAACTGCTTCCTATTTAGAATATGTTTTTTTCTTTCTCAGTTCTCGTAGTTAATATACAATTATTTGAAAATTAATTATATAGAAGATGGGGAAACTGAGATTTAATATTTATTTTTGATCATGTGACTAGAGATAGTGAGGAAATTGATCATCTTTAAAACAGTTCTTCAGTTGACAAAGAGCCAGTGTGTTTTTCGTGCATTCTGTACGTTAGGGATGGAATAATACTAACGTGTATTTTTGTTGGTAAAAGGTTCTCATGAAAGATGCCCTGACCTCAGTGTGTGGTACCTCATGGGTCCATCCGTATTGCTGGCTGAAAGTAGCAGCTGTGGGAAATTGTTCTTAAAAGCATTCAAATTGCTTTTGATAGATTTTACTTAAAAAGTAATAAAAGTTACTTTTCCTTTTATAAGTATTAAAAGTACTTATAAGTATTAAAAATACCGACTTCTTGTCTTTTATTTTCTCAATAAATTAATCTACCTGTTAGTGCAGTTACCTTTAATAGCCATTAAAAGTAATGTGAAAACAAATCCGAATTTTGTTTATTACTTGGCTTACATTTAGAATAAGATACTGCTTAAAAGATTTCTAATAAACACAAAAAACATATAAAGAGAGGTTTTTGAAATGAAATATATTCTAAAGATGAGAAATCTACAGAAAGAATGAATGGCACCTATTGATTTTTGGATTATTCTTTGGAATAGTTCAAATTCAAAATATACATGTTGATTCTTACAGAACTTTATTTAGGCCATATTCTGTTTATGATGCATTTAGCTGGTATGCCATTATGTAACTCTGTAGCTGGAATCACTTTTTAGTTGAATACCCCTAACAAGATTATAGAATTTTTAAAAAGTGCATGTTTATAATGTTACATAAAAAGTGAGTTTTTAAGATAAGTATTTTGTAGAGACCTTTAAGAATAAGAAACAAAAATAAATATATAGCATCTGCAGCCTTTGCAATTGATCTTAGCCAAAAAGCTGAGAAGTGATGAATTTAACTTTCAGTAGCAGTACTGGTAGATTTCTGTTTTTCTTTGTGTTGTGACGAGAACTGACTTAATAAAATGAAAGATATTTTATTAGCACAATGGTTTTCAGGATCTTTCTGTTATCTGACAGGCATCCAATATAATTGAGTTTTTCCCCTATTTTTCTAAAGGATTTCAGAGAATGTTTAGGAGACACGATGGATGAAAAAAAGTTGAAATTTTCCTATTATTTGAATAAATTGTGTTTTTTTTTTTTTTTTAAAGATTTATTTATTTATTTGTACATACAGAACTGGGGTACAGGCCAGAGGTGCAGGGGCGGTGAGAAACTTCACCAGAGACAGAGTGGGGAGCAGAACAGGCAGATCGATGAAATACACTGCTGAGGGGAGCAGCGGGCGGGTCAGGAGAGTTCTGCCACGCCATATGGTCACCTCCGGGGCAGGCGGGAATCGAACTCATGCGGAAGTGGTTTCAGCTTCTTAGTGCAGTGCTTTAACCCGCTGCGCCACCAGGGAGGGCCCTAAATTGTGTTTTTTGTTGTTGTTGTTGGGGATGGTGTTAACCAAGATTAGGTGATGAAATAAAGATAAAGTATGTCCTGTTATAAAATTTAGCCTGCATTTACCTTCCTACTTTGGGACTCAGATCTGTCAAAGATCACGGTGAGAAGTAGTTTTTTCATTTGTTTTTTCCTTACAGTATTTTATTTTCTTTTCTAGATTGGTCAGGTGAAGCAGGAGCTATCTAGAAAGGACACAGAACTGCTAGCTCTACAGACAAAGCTAGAAACACTCACAAACCAGTTCTCAGACAGTAAGCAGCACATCGAAGTGCTGAAGGAGTCCTTGACTGCTAAGGAACAAAGGGCCGCCATCCTACAGACAGAGGTAAGAGAATGCTGGGATTTGTGGGCACTTTATTCCTTGGCACCTTTTCCTATGTGTTACTCATATTTTTGTTATATTTAGATTTGGGAGACATGGTTAATTCTTTAGCAGTGTGATCAATTACTATACTAAAACATAACACTCTTGTTTCATTTTGCTCTTAGATCTGACAAATTTAAAGCTGGTGAATTTTATGTGTTTCTAGTACTTTGCACTTTCACTAAGTCTATACTAATATTATGAAATGAAAAGATAGCTGTACAAAAGAAGTCTGAGTGAAGCTTTTGTATCAAGTGTTCTTTAACTTTGACATTCTGAATAACTTTCGGCAAACTGACATCTAGATATGTTCTAGGGTCATCTCATTTTGAACTATGGATTATTAGAATAATCTGTTGTATATGTATCTTCATATTCTGTTTGAAAGTAAAGTTAGTATTTTTAGAGATCTTGATACATTCATCAGTCTTGATTTTAGGTCAGACTATGTGCTAAATAGTCCTAGATAAATAAGTCCTAGGTAGATCAGTATGGGTCTGTCAAATTTGTAGTGATATTATTTGGATTTATTGCCTTTTCTTTTAATTTATTGTCTTAATATTTCTTAAAGAACTAAGTGAAATAGGGAATTTAGGTAGGAATAGATAAGTAATTACAACTTATAGAAGAAAAAGTGTACAACGTGGATTGGTTTTTTCTTTTAAAGAAGCAGGTCATAAGTTATTAAGGACATAGTTTGACAGAAGGAACCGGGGCTTAAAGACAATACATGGAAACCTCATAGACCCAAAAGATAAGAATCTTCAAGTGAGGAGGAATGGGGAAATGACCCAAACTAGAACGCAGTATCGTGTTTTATTTAGGTGAAGAAACTTTGTTTAAAAGATATATTTGCAATTTAGGTATATTTGTAATTTTCTGTACAACTTCCACTTTTTCTGTTTTAATTATGTTTCGCTTTATTATAATGTCACCTTCATTCCATCACACACAGCCTCATAAAGGCCCTGGCCTTAGTGAGCACTGAATCCAAACTTAACTACCAGGTGCATAATCCTGGGAGTGTTATTTTTCATCATGCATTACTTTCTACATATGTAAGATAAGATGGTAATGAGTGCCAGTGTCCTAAGGTTGTTGATGCCTGGCTCACAGGTTTTTGTGTTGTTAGTGTGTTTCTTCACATAAGATCAGCTAATAGACTGTTAAAATGTTGTGAGACTAAATAGTTAGTTTTCCTTTCATTATTTAGAAGACTGCTCTTTGGTACATTTATTAAGTTGAATTTAGGTTTATTCAGGGAATTTCAAATGTTATCTGAAAACTGTTACCTGAAAAGTTATTAATTTATAGCTTTACTAGCAATTTTCCTTTTCAGTAACTTGTTGCTTGTAGTACTACAGAAGGATCAGAAGAGGGTGCTGTTGTCTTAGATGTGATGGTACTTTCAAGTTTGCTACTGTGAGAGCTTTGGATGGAGGTGGCAGGTGTGCGAACCAGAGAGCCATGCAGTTGGTTAATGATAACACATACATTTAAAAGCTTGTCACAGTGTAATAAATGACTTTTCCCCCATTGGCAATCCATCCTTCTCTTTGTACTCCTCTCAAATAATGTTCTTATTAGCTAGGTCTCACACAGATGGGCTTGTGATTGGTTTCTCTACAGTAGAGAATAAAGACTGCATTTGTGTTTATTCTTGAATGGTTTTTATATTTATTTTTAGCCATTGTGGGAGCAACTGAGTTTCAGTGATTACCCCTATACATTAGTAGGACAACTGCTCAGACAGCCGTCTTGTCCTAAAAACTCTATTGGTATAAAAGCTAACTTCTTTTTGTATTTATGATAATTATATAACTGTAACATGTCTACTAGCATTTACTGTTTTTTCTTAAGTCATTCTGGTGACACTTAACAAGGATCACTTTTCTCAAAGACACTTTCTCATTTTCTAACTCAATAAAGGCAATTTGAACCAGCTTTTTGAAAGTTCTCACAATTTTTCTATAATTTGTTCTAATTCATCTTATCTTCCTCTATTAGACTTTGATCTAACCCTCAAATCAGTTAAGTTAAGCACATATTTAAAAGAACATGGACTGAGGATTTTTTTTTTTTTTAATTTCGAAATTCTTTTAAGAAAGAAGGGATAAGGGAAAATAGCTGATTTTCTTTCTGTTCAAAGTCCAGGTAATGAGGCCCTATAAACAGTGTATATATAGTATCTCTTGGAATCAATTCTAGATGATAAACATCTTTTATAATCTATTGACCTCTATAGATCTGGATTTAGTAACAGTGGTTAATAATGTTGGGTTTGGAGTCAGATGTAGACTTGAAGTGCAACTCTCTACATTTTCCTCTTCAATTTCTCACTTCCTTGTTTGTAAATGAGGGTAATAATACCCATTTCCTGAGACCATTGTAGCTAGGCTAGATACTTAATTATGCAGCTGTCACCTAAATTTGGAGGGAAATTAAATCAATGGGTTAAAACATTAAAAATGCCTTAGAAGTGCTTTGATTTGATATGTTATTTGATTCTCATAGTAATGGTATGGGTTAGGCAAGAAGAGTTTGGCATAGGTGTAACAACACTATTGACTTTAAAACTAAAAAAAAATTTTTTTTAAAAAAGATTTATTTATGGCCCTCCCTGGTGGCGCAGCGGGTTAAAGCACAGCACTGAGAATCTGAAGCCACTTCCGCATGAGGGCCTTTCCCGCCTGCCGCCTTCCCCGGAGGAGACCACATGGCGAGCCAGACCTCTCCTGACCCGCCCGCTGCTCCCCTCAGCAGTGTACTTCGTAGATCTGCCTGTTCTGCTCCCCACTCTGTCTCTGGTGAAGCCTCTCACCGCCCCTGAGCCTCTGGCCTGTACCCCAGTTCTGTATGCACAAATAAATAAATAAATCTTTAAAAAAAAAAGATTTATTTATTTGTGCATACAGAACTGGGGTACAGGCCAGAGGTGCAGGGAGGTGAGAGAATTCACCAGGGACAGAGTGGGGAGCAGAACAGGTAGATCGACGAGTTACACTGCTGAGGACAGCAGCAGCAGGCGGGTCAGGAGAGGTCTGACACGCCATGTGGATCACCTCTGCCATGTGGTCACCTCTGCGAGGCAGGCAGGGATCGAACTCATGCTAAGGTGGCTTTAGTTTCTTAGTGTTGTGCTGCACCACCAGGAAGGGTCCTTAAAACTAAAATTTTAAAATCATTCAAAGTTTAGTCAGTAAGTCATAAAGAGTTTCAGAGAAAGAACTTAAAGGGAGAAGCTGGACTAGGGGCCTCCCTGGTAGCACAAGGGGTTAAATCTCAGCTCTTTGAAGCTATCCACAGCCACTGCAGCTTGATTGAATTCCTGGCCAGGGAGCTGACCCACAAGGCTGCTCCCCACAGCAGTGTGTCTCAGTGGATCTGCCCATTCTGCTCTTCACTCTGTCTCTGGTGAATCATCCTCTCACCCCCACACCTCTGTCCTGTACCCCAGCTCTTTTATGCATAAATAAATCTTTAAAAGAAAAAAAGGGGAGGAGCTGGACCAGTTCATGTTCTCACCAGTAGCATACAAGTGTTCCTGATTCTCTGCATCCTCTTCAATACTTGTTTTGGATTTTTTGATAGGGCCCATTCTCACAATGTGAAGTGGTATCTTGTGCTTTTGATTTGTATTTGCCTGATGATAAGTGATGGTAAGCACTAAGAAAAATTTACAATAGGTAGTTAAGTGGAAATAGTGACCTGTAAAATCCAATGTGAAAACCAGGTCATCTCATACTAATTTTATATTTGTCTTTGTATGACTTCCAGACTGACAGACAGGAATATATGGGAGATCGGAATCTATAGCTCCTCAAGATGTGAAAAAGAAAAAAAGGCCGCATAAAAAAAAAAACAAAAAAACAAGATAGTCTATTAAGTAATCCTTCAAAATCTGTGTAGTGGCTGCCAGAAAACTTTCCCCAAATCAAAAATGTAATCTTAGGTTGTTTAGTTTCTAGAAACGAGGAGGAATTGATAACACCTAAATTATTGAATTCTGGGTACTGTGGTTTAAGGACACAAACACATTTACGAACGTTTAGGTGCAGAGTCTGAATCCATGACATCATACAGAAGAGTTGAAGGGGAGAAAATGCTCATGCCATAGCCTGATGGTATTTGAGTGGCTGTTCTGTGGAAAAGTCTCTAAGAGGTTGAAATTAGGCCAACGGCTAAAACTACAGAAAACATTTTATTTATCTATATTTTACTTTAAGATATGAAAGAAATACTGCCTGTGCCTGTTAAGAGCAGAGTAAGGGCAGCCTCTGGAGAAGAATCTTGCACCTAGTCTTTACTGGAGTATCAGATACTAGACATGCCTGCTCCAAAGTGATCTAGAGTAGAGACACAAGCTTTGGAGATTGAAGCAGGTCACCCATAGGGTCCTTCTGATGTAGAAATGCTCTGTTTTTTGAGATTCTAAGAATGTTCACATCAAGAAGGTTATAGGCTTAGTTGGGCTTAGTTCTGGCACACTGTGGGGAAGTGTTCTGGAAGTACTGGCTTAGAGGGGTCAAGGTAGAAGGAGCAGGTTGGCTGACTCCCTTGCTTTACTGGATTCACAGAGACCAAATATATTACTATTTTTACTGGGGCTGCATAGTGCAGTAGAGCTTATTAAGGTACATTCTGTGTAGATGTTACCACATCTTCTTTATCTGCTATGAATTTTTAATGGAAAATGGCTAGACATGATCTCAGCACTGGTTTTGTTTTATTGTAAGTTCCCCCCCCTTTATTTTTGGGGGGTTAAGTACAAATAAACTATGTGTTGTGGAATGGTATATCTCTATCCCTGCCCTTTTTATTTATTTTTATTTTTTAAGTAATACAATAATTTTTACATCATTTTGTGTCTGCCCTTTTTGATGTATCTCAGAGCTCTCCAACTTCTTGTCAGGTATGACACTTCAAAAAGATCTCAATTCCATTTGTTGAAATCATCTTCTAAAAAAGTTTGTGTATGCTGTCAACACTGAGGCCCATTGCCATTCATTCCTTCAGCCACCCTGTTAGATGGGAACAATGGGAAATGTGGTCATAGAAATTATTCTTTGTGATCTTGAGCAAGTCATTTCATTTGGACTTTGATTTTCTCAGCTTTGAAATCAGGGGTTTAAATTAGATTATTTAATTAAAAAATTACGAAATACTGCCAAATAGAGGAAAAATGCATAAAGAAATATACTCACCTCTCAGTTTTAACTTACAGTAATGTTTGCACAGATTAGGTGAACTTAAAAGCCCTTTAAATGGTTTTTTAAAAAAAGGAAATCTCTTTGTAAATTAAATATTCAATGGATTATCTAGGGTAAGTAAAAAGTTTTGTTAGAATCTCAGGTTTTTAGAACTGGTTTGAATTAAAAATAAAAACTTGAAAGCTATCATAGTGTTAGTGTGTTAAAGACTTAGAACTGAGTAGGTTTCTTTAGGGAAAATTGTTTAATGTGAGATATAAAGAGGGGAAAATGACAGAGGGACCAGTGAAGACAACTGAAGGGAATTATATTGGTATAGACAAGAGAGGAATAATAGGTTGATAAGAAACAGCCCTTGTTCCCATGTACTTTGTTACTGTGAATGTGCATTTAGATACATGTTTGTTGATGCAAACTGAGGGTAACTTCAAAAGTTTGTACCATTTCATTTGAGATAATGAGTAGTTTTATGATCAGAAATGAGAGGCGGAACAGCAAAGGACTCCGTTTTCAGTTCCTGTTCACTGGTAACGAAAATCTTGTCGAGAGAGAAACCTACTGTTTTTGTTGAAGTTGGCATAACCTGCTTGCCACAGCCCTTGATGCTTGGCAAACTAGGTGGATGCTGTTCCACCAGCTCAGCTGATGTGAATAAACAAGGACTTGTTTCTACTGCCAGAAACAGTGTTGGGGTGATGACTGTGTGTCCTGCTAGTCTCTGACTTTCCTGAATGTGTTTTTTTGGTTTGCAAAATATGGACTTAATGCAAAATTATACTGTGAATTTAGTTCACTCCAAACCAAAAGATCAGTGTAGAATTTGAGCAATTAATCTAGTAATAGCAAAGTGGTTTTTGTGGTTGTTTTTATCTCAGATCTCTAAACCAGCACATTCAAATTCTGCCTCGCAAGGAAAAGTATACACACTTTGAATGAGAGGTAAAGAAAAGATCATTTAATAATTAGAATATGCATTTGGACATTTCTGTGCTTAATGCTTGTGATCTCAGTGTTTTTTTTGTTTTTTTGTTTTTTTGTTTTTTTTTTTATCAAAGTCTACATTTCTAGCTACATTCACACCAAAGACCTGCATGTTTATAGTGAGTTTTCATTCTTACCTTTCAGTTACCACTTCCTTGTGGGTCTTATAGCTGACATGGTATGCAGGTATTTATGACTGGTTAGAGCTGGCACATTTCTTTCTCCCTTAACTGAATAAAAACGTAGCAAGGTTCTTTTGGAGAAGAAGCACAGTCACTGTTCTGTGAGACATTGGTGCCATCAGAGTGAGAAGCACATAGATGAGGGATATTTTCCTGCTGTTCTGATTCCTGATCCACAGATGGAAAGCCTTTCATGTTTCTGAAATTAATGCTGAGAAGGAAATTAGCGTTATTGATTATTATCGATGTCTTATTATTAAGACTTATTTGTAGTTTTAAATGCTTGTGCTTTTTTTTGTCTGTAATTTTTGCTTTGAGTTGCTTTGTTGAACTTGTGGCTATTGGTTAAGACATTAGAGATGGAGTGTGTATTATATTAAATACAAATTTGATTGTAGAAATTAGGTGTAAATGATTTAGTGATTTATCTATCTAAAAAATTTCTGACATCCTTTGTAAGATGTTGGTCTTTTTAACTGTGCAGAAGGGTTATTAGCAAGTGCCTCCTTGACTCACCATGACTGATGCCCTGTAATGGAGTCAGCTAGTAGGAACCAAATCTGCTAACATCAAATAGGATCAGTAGCCACGCAGGCCAGTTTAAGCTGAGCCTTGGTGCCAAGTGGTTAAGGGTGAGTGGGTTCTTTGGCATCTTGAGTAGCCTGGTTGTTGAAGTTCATGTTCTGCAAAGATCCTAGCTCTGCGGCGGGAGCCTTCTCTTGTCGATTGAATCAGTATTTAGTATGGTCTGACTTTTTTGGATTTTTTTTTTCTTTGCATGATGGAGTGTTTCTATTTTTAATAGGTAAGATCAAGGCAAACTGATGGTAACTTAAAATTTTGCCACCTTGTACCTGCCACCTTTGGAAAGGATCAGTTGTAAAAGGGATTGTTTTCTTAATTTCTCCTTCTGATAGCATATTGTTAGTGTATAGAAACACAATAGATTTTTGTATATTGATTTTGTATCATGCAACTTTATTAGTTGATTAGTTCTAATTTTTTTTTGCTGGCTTTTACTATATATATATATAGTATACATATATATGTATGTACATATATATGTCAATGTCATTTATAAATATTGACAGTTCTTTCATTCCAGTTTGGATGTCTGTTATTCTTTTTCTTATCTAATTGCTCTGGCTTGGACACCCCATAGTATGCTGAATAAAAGTGGTGAGAGCGTGGACATCCTGTCGTGTTCTTGATGTCAGAAGAAAAGCTTTTAGCTTTTCACTGTTGAGTATAATGTTAGCTGTGGGCTTATCATATATTGCCTTTATTATAGTGAGCAATGTTTCCTCAATACTCACTCTGTTGGGAGTTTCTCATAAATGAATATTGCATTTTCTCAAATGCATCTATTGAGATGCAGAAATTAAAAGTGTTAGAGAGGATGTAGAGAAAGGGAACCTTCATACACAGTGATGGGGATGTGAATTGGTACAGCTACAATGGGAAACAGTATGGAATTTCATTAAAAAAAATAATAATACAAATACCATATGATCCTGCAATTCCACGTTGAGTTACTTGTCCAAAGAAAATGAAAACATTAACTTGAAAGTATATATGCATCCCTGTGTTCATTGCAGCATCATTTACTATAGGCAGGGCATGGAAATAATCTAACTATTCATTGATGACTGGTTTCAAGAAATTACAATATACATAGTATCATTCACCCATTAGAAAAAGACCTAAATCTTGTCATTTGCTGTGACACGAACACATCTTGAGGGCAGGACAAACACTGTACCATTGCTTTTATATATGGAATCTAAAAAACAAAAACAAAAGCTATAAAAACAAAACATTATGCTGATAAGTAAGCTCACAGATACAGAGAATAGATTCTTGGTTGCCAGAGAGTAGGGTTAGGGTGTGGAAGGAATGGGTCAAATAAGAAAATACACTGGATTGCTTATTTTACAAAATTGGGTCATAGCTAATTTTGCTAGTCTTAGACTATTCATATTTTTATTTATTTATTTTTAAAGATTTATTTATGCATACAAGAACTGGGTTCTTGCCTTTCTTCTTCCTGCTTGGCAGCATCAAATATATCTGCAAACATGCCATGCTGTTTCTTGGTTTTAAATATTTTTTTTTTTTCTCGCTAGACTATGACATTTTCCCTGCCCTTTCATAACTGGTGAACTTCTAGTCATCATTCAAAATCAACTTAGATATTACTTCTTTCAGAAACCTTTTCTGACCCCTTTGGCATGTTCAGAAGAGTGGTATCTCTTCTGTCTTTGTTCCTTTTATTTTAGTGTCCTTTAGTATTTGATAAAAGTTATAATAACTTTTGTAGTCATATCTAGCCTTTGAGTCCCAGTTTTTATAATATGGTATAAATTATTTAGCTCCTGTGTGCCAGTTTTCACATCTTTAAAATAGGGATAATATTAGCTACTTTGCAGTGTTGTGTGTGTGTGTGTTTTTTAAAGATTTTATTTATTTATGCATACAAGAACTGGGGTGTAGGCCAGAGGTGCAATGGGTGAGAGGATTCACCAAAGACAGAAAGAGGAGTGGATCTACAGAAATATACTTCTGAGGGGAGCAGTGGGCGAGACAGAGAGGTCTGCTGCACCATGTGGATCAGTCTGTGGCTGGGGATCGAACTCATGCTGCAGTGGCTGGTCATTGCTTGATAGTGCTGAGATTTTAACCACTATGCCACTGGGTAGGCCCTGCTTTACAGCAGACAGAATTACTTGGAACAGAAAGGTGAACAAAAATGGTTCTTTACTGAAGAAGTACAGTAGTAAGCTGAAAAATAGTAAGTTCTAGTATACAGTGCTGTGGGAACAAAGGAGAAGGAGGTAGCAGTTGTTTACGGGGGGTGCAAGATATTAAAATGGCAGCATAGCAGTAGGGTCTTAAAAGAGTTGTGTAGTAGATTTTTTTCAGTTTGGTGATGAATACATCTACATTACATTTCTTTTTTCTCAATCAATTATAAAAATTTTACATTCTTAGGTGGATGCTCTTCGATTGCGTTTGGAAGAGAAAGAAACCATGCTGAATAAGAAGACAAAACAAATTCAGGATATGGCTGAGGAGAAGGGGACACAAGCTGGAGAGATACATGACCTCAAGGACATGCTGGATGTGAAGGAGCGAAAGGTTAATGTTCTTCAGAAGAAGGTAAGGTGCAGGTGTTTTGAGTTATACATCTGGCATACTTCCTGATTCTTATCTTACCACTAAGTTAAACCTGTCAAAAGTTCCTTTTGGTTTCCTCTGAGTATATTTTAGCAGTTAATGATTGTAATTTTTGTTGCAGTCTTTTATTAGTTGAAACTGCTGTGCACTTCAGTTAAAACTTTTTAACAGTAAATTCTGTTAGGATCGTCACTAGAATTTCCTATGCTATTTCTGAAATAGTGTAAATTGCCAAAGTACTTGCATTGACATTCTACTTCTGTCTTGCAATGGAACTATAATGACATGAATTTGTGTAAAATACAGACTTGGAATGGCTGCAGCTCCATCTGTGTGATTCATAAGACTAGAATTTTGAATAGCAAAGTATGCTGTTACAATCAGTATATAATGTGCATGTGTCAAGGGAAGGGAGAATTTTTCATTTTTTATCTTAATCATTGTTGGTAAGAGTTAAATGCTGGAATAAATAAAAGTAGGGCAAATACTCATTTAATGTAGAGAGTGTTGCTAACTCACCAAGGGGTAGGGTGAACTGACCACTACACTCACCCAAATGAAGGAGTTTGCCTGAATGAAGGAGACTCGGAGACACAAGAAAGTGAAGCAGGAGCCTGGGGTCTGGAGTCCGAAGTCTGTTTATTAGGACTACCTGTGGATATATGTAGGGTCTGTGCATGCAGGGAAAAACAGGAAATGTACCCAGGAAATGTGCCCTATGCAGAAGGTGGGGTGCATGTTTGTACCCGGCCTGGGGCTTCTTGTAGCTTCTACTTGAAACAAAGTAGTGGACTGCAGCTATTTGCAGGATAGAGTGCACTGAGTTCTGCTGACTTGACCCATGCACAATATTAGCCAGGGCGGGCAGGTGCACTTGAGTTCCTGCAGAGTTAGCCACAGATAGGACCTTGGAAATTGCAACTTCAAGTGAAATGACATGTAAGAAAATCAGATCCTCAAATAATGTCTTGCAGTTAGTGTTCATGACATTGAATGAAATGGTATTCTAGGACTAATAATTGTTACCTTAACACTCCTCCTTTTTTTTTTTTTAAGCTTAAGTAATGGGTGTCCTTGAGGTAGTAGTTATACATTATAATAGATTAGAAGTAATACTTTTATTTATGACAATAGATGAGGAATAATTCTCTTGACTTACCCTTAAATTCATCTTTTTTTCTTTTTAGGTACAGAGGGTCATGGCCCCATTTTTGCTTATACTATATTTATTTGTTTTTCATTTTTTCATCCTTCTCATTGCAGTTCCTTAGAGATGCAACCACTGTAACATGTTTTTGTGCCTTTTCATAAAACATTATGCATATTTAGATTATGACAAAGTTCTTATGCTTAACAAGGGTATCAGTTAATTCACACACATCTTCTGGTCTTCAAATTTTTCTTTTCTCTTTACATGTAAATTAATTATATGAAATTTATATATTTCTGTAATGATTCAACTTTGTTTTTATATGTGACTTTCAAGTCATCATTGTATTATCAATTAAATAATTATTATTTGAAAGGCCATGAGAGAATTACCACATAAGCTTAAGGCTTTTTCTAGATACTGTGGTGTTCCATTTATGTACTTTGTGTCATTATCAATATTTAAATATTATCATAGCTTCTTAATGCAGTTAAACTTTTAGTAGGGTTGTTCTGCTTTATTAGTTTTCTTTTTTTGAAGAATTTTTTGACATTTCTCCACCCCCCAGATGTACAGTTAGTGCCATTTGTCAAATTCCCCTCTTTCAAAAAATAAGTCATCACTATTTTGAATGAATTTTTTCTCAAAAAATCTAGTGAAAAAGTTTCAAAGAAAAAAATTTCCCCCCCCATACTGCTGATGGATTAGACAATATGAAAATTGAGAATTGATCTTTGGCTGTAGTAAGTGAAGGTCATTAGCGACTTTAGTTGCACCGCTTTATTGGAGTGGGAAGTTTGTAATTTGTGCCTTGTTTTCCTGATCTTTCCATTACTTTAAGCACTGTATTTTATTTTTTGTGTTTTCATTTAACTTATAAAGTGCAACCTTGTCACTGACTATTTTGAAAAATAGTTTGCTTATAAATCCCCCTTCCTTATGTATGTTGGTGAACTTTCTTGTGTTTTGCTGATGTATAAAAGTTTTCAAATTTACTATGTTACTCTTTCCCATGAATGTAACTCCTATTGTTTAGACTATCTTTCACTAGTCTTATAGCTTACCATCCCAAGTTTTAAATTTTTGTTAATGTTTGTACTCTTTCTTTGAATACTTACAAAAGAAAGGTCACGGGTATTGTATTTCCCATATTGTATTTCCCAAGTTCTTGCTTGTTGACCATACATTTCTAATTTAAAAAGATACATCAAAACATATAGAGACAGTAATGCAGTAAATAATTGTAATTACTTAAATACAGTTAAAGTTTCTTAGCATAGCTTTCCTTGATAGCATTCCTATTCATTGTGTCCAGAGTTGAACATTTGATTTTGGTGTTTATGCATGCCCCAGACTTTAGGCTAGGATACATGTTATATGCTTCTCAACCCATATATTAATAGGATATATGTCATTAGAGGAAATACATATGGGAAATAAATGTGACAAGTTGTTTATCCTGTTAGGGGAATGTAAAATATGACCAGATTAAGAAACCCTACCTTTCATTTTACTTTATGTTGACAAAAATTAATAAATCTACAGTATCAAGTGTTAGTAAATACGGAAACTTCATTTCTCACTCAATGGGGTTGGTATTTAAATTGGTATAGCTCCTGCACCCCTGTATCACATATAGTGTTATAAACCATTACCTCAATAAAGGAAAAAAAACAACATTGTGACACTATGGTAAAAACAAACAGCAAGCTAAATACTAGTTAAAACAAAAAACATGCTAATTTCTATTCCTGTAAACTATGGTTTAAGCAATCAATTCATTCCAGTCTAATTAAGTCAATTAACATTTATAGAGCACCAATACTCTTATTGGTTTTATTTTTATAAGACACTTTATAATTAAGCAATAAATTAATTAAATGCTATAAAATGATGCAAGTACTTTGAAAAGCACTTAATGAAATACATGCAAACCATACCTTTCCAGATATCTGAATCTTAAATGAATGCGGGGACATGTAAGAATACTCATAGTTACCTCTTTTTGGATTTGAAACAAAATAAAACTGAGGAAACATTATGAAAATATTCACTGAAAAAAACATTATGTTGTCGTGTAACATATATCTCTTTTGTTTTAAAGCGAGAGACTATCTAGACAAAAAATTACTCAAAAATCTTTTCTTGTGGAGGTAGGGAAGTCAGAGAGATGCAATAAGTAGGAACATGTGAACAGCTTAAATAGTTTTAGTAAAGTTCTTACTAAGATGAGTAAAGGGGCTTGTGTGTGCATAAATCAATATGATATATAACATATATATCATACAACATACAGATATATACATTAAATATTATGTAATATAATTTAAATATCTGAAAGCAAATTACTTTAAATTTGCGTGGTTGCCAAATGTAAGGTTTATTCTATGTTTTACCCATTCTTTTTATTTGATATTAATAATAAAAATACTTGGAAAAATACTCAGCATATACAGTACTGGTCTTCATTGAAAAATATTTTTTCCTGTATTTATTTTGCAATTTATTATTAACTTCGTAATCCTAAAATTAGAACCATCTTTTTTTTTTTGAAGTTTGATTATACACTTTGAAACAGTGTCTGAGACAGATGTGTCATTTGATAAAGTTGTCTGATTAAATTTTTTGTGTAAGATCTCTGGCAAATTATATATTCAGCTTTGGTAAATTATGTCCAATTACAATGACAGTTTGACCCACTTGCCTTGAATTTGGCGATGGACAGTATTTGCTGGTAGAGATTAACTTGGGGGGCCATATTGAAGGAATCTAATTCTGTTTGAACAGAACAGCTTTTTGGATTTTGGGAGCTTGTTATTTGACAACTCCCACATCTTATTTTCCTATGTAAATATTTGTTAGTAAATATTTTCCATTGTAAATATTTCCTAGTAAATATTTGTTACTCCAATTGTTATTATTGTTCCCTGGATAATTTTACTGGTGGTAGTTATTTGTCTACAAGAACTAATTTTCCTCTGTTCTTGACTTATCCAGTGGAATTTCTGGATCTAATTCCAAGAGAGATGTTTAGAACATCACTAATAACACTATTCTTTGTTCTAGCTGAAATGCAATATTGGACAATTCACTGAAGCTTACTAACCCCACCTGGAGGCAGGACATAACACATACCTTGGGGTTTCTGTTAAATGATGTAGTGTATGTGAAAGTACTTTACTAAATTTTACATTGTTCAGTTCAGCCAATTATTTTAAATCTTTGAGCATTTTTTTTTAAAGATTTATTTATTTATGCATACAGAACTGGGGTACAGGCCAGAGGTGCAGGGGCGGTGAGAGGATTCACCAGAGACAGAGTAGGGAGCAGAACAGGCAGGCTGATGAAGTACACTGCTGAGGGGAGCGGTTGGTGGGTCAGGAGAGGTCTGCTGTGCCATGTCAGTCACCTCTGGGGTGGGGATCGAATTCATACGGAAGTGGCGTTAGCTTCTTAGTGCTGAGTTCTAATCACTGCACCACCAGGGAGGGCATGCATCTTTTTTAATCTTAATTTTATTAGTTTGTTTCCTTCAATTTATGTCTTCAACTCACTGATGATCACTTTCATAGTAAGTGGTAAGATGTTCATTATCCCAGAAACATTTTCTGAAGTATATTGTGCCTTTAAGGTTGGTATATTCATCAAAACAATTATAAAAGCTTTTTTGTTGCTTCTAGAATGTTTTGGTTGTTGTAACTAAGCCTATTTTACTTTATTAATTACATGCATGTTCCTGCTCCCCACTTTTTCATCCAGTTCCTTAGAAATATGAGTTGATTAGAAAGATCACTCTATATAATTCCTTTCTTTCCCTGCCTGCTTACTAAAT